GCTTGGGAAATAATTTCTCTTAAAGACATCTTTAAACACAATCTTTCATGCCTTTTGATTAACTCATCGACCAAAATCTTGTAATTAACATATCTACTCATGAAGCCGACATCGCATATGTGTTATGGCTCATAAGTCTTCATAACCGAGCTTGATGTCCTACCGTGCAAAGAACATACTTGCATTTCTCATCCTTGCATTCAGCCTCTAATCTTAACATGATCATCCATTACAAATGTTATAACTCTTCCGTGCTTCATTGAATGCTTTATAACAGTTTTTCTAAGCACTATTTTATTCAAAATACCATACCAATATGAAAGTGAGGGACTTCATTCTTACCATCATACATAATAGTATTTGTTTTCATCATCTTATCATGTTCTCGCATCCGAATCATCATGAGTAGTTGATAAATACATCACTATTTCATTAGAATGATACTTATTTTCCCTCTTCATTTCTAATCTCTCTTAAAATAATTATCCTCACCAACTAAATCTACATTATCATCCGTATTCCCATTTGCATTCACAATTTGTATTCCCATTTACATTCCTAGTAACTTTTTCCTTGTCCTTCCCACTTTTAGCACTTTTAACATATGTTTATTGCACCTTTTCGTCATTATTGTCACTCAACCAAGCATATTCAAAATCAATATCTTTTTCACCTCTTAATTGATCCGCTTCAATATCATCTCGCATATTCATTAGTAAATTTATGCCTTTTTACTATCCCTTCTTCTATTTGTACATGTTCCTCCTTATCATAATTCCGTTTCTCTACTCGTCTCTTCTTCGTTTGCTCATGTTCCTCCTTATAATAATTCTACTTCTCTAATGTCCCTTCTTTTGTTTGCTTATGTTCCTCCTTATCATAATTCTTCTCCTCTCGTTGTCTCTCATTCTATCAACTCATTATTCCTCTCGAATACTCTCTCAATAATTTCAATTTCATTTTCTCTAACATAATCATTTTCAACCCCATAATGACTTGAGCTATCACTAGTAGAAACTATACCGTAATCAAATCTACCATTCACATCAATACCAAGCTTATCACATACAACCTTTGGATTGTCCACATTAAAATAAGGATATTCTTTGTTACCATGTTCATAATACACATCAACACATTCAATTTTCATTAAAAGGTTAATCATAGGACATACACTTTTGTCATCATATATCAACCTCATGTATTTTGTTAAATTTTTACCCTATTTTATATCTTTATAATACACACTTGTAATATTCGTATAACTATGTTTCTTAGCACGCTCCAATAAACCAAAAAAAAAAAAAATCATTCTCGTTAATGTTAAAATTAACCACAATACCCTTTTCATATGTCACGGATAAACCTACATCTTCAAAAGTTCTACGTAATTTCCCTCCTATATGAACCTTTAGCTTACTCATCTAGAAGGACTATTGAGGAGGGACAATGACGAATAAAAAACATTAACAAATGTCATACAACATTTTAAAAACAAAAAAGAAACTTAACAATTAACCCATTGAAAAATTATCGTACCTTATCTCCACTCGAGTCCAGTAACTTAGTGTTGTTGAAAAACTTATGTCATAAAGAAATGGTAAGCAAGAAGAAGATAGGATCAAGAATTAGAGGGAAGATAAAATGGGTTATAGCAGAGCTTTCCTCACAAATTAACGAAGAAAAAGAAAAACTTATAGGTTGCCTAACAAAAAAACGAAGAAACAAAGAATCGAGGGTTGTATTATGACTTTCTATTGTTACTTGAAAGCGAAGGAGCAAGAAAATTAGAATTAGGTTAGAATTGGGAAGTAAACATTTGTGATATAAGGGGTTTTTAAGTGGAGCAATTTGGGGGTTTTTCTTTTTTAATTTTATTTAAATCTTTTTTGATATTAGAAACCGAGATGAAAAAAATTAATACCACGTGTCGACATTTTATTATTCTTAATTGAAAAATTATCTTTGGTGTCAAAAAATATGATCGGAGGGATCAAAAGTCGACGCAAAATAAAATAGATGGACACGATAGTTGAAAAATTTAATAGAGATATACGATTAAAAAATTTGAAACAGTAGATCTTTAACCCAATTAAGAAAATAAATATTGTCATGATTTGTAGAAAATAGTTTCCATCCTTTTTCTTTTTTCTTTTTTTTTTTTTTAAAAAAAAAAGCAAAGTACAGAGGCATCATTCATTCGAAAGCAAATGAGATTGAATAGGTCTTACTTTCTGAGTCCAAAAGGGCCAAACAGAGGTTCATAGGTAAAGCTTCCACCTCTTATGCCAAATTAACAAAACAGGGACGTCCAACGACCTTCTCTTTAAGAGAGAGGAGAGGGGCAATGGCACCTTAGCTTCCCACGTTCTCGAAATTTCCACGTATGAGACGCAGTGATCATTAATCCAAGCTTTCCCAAATTTCATACGTTTGGATGAGTGGGGTTCTGCTAGATCCATCCATCCATCCATCCAGAAGTGGGAACAAATTGGTGGACCCCAAAAAAAAAAAGAGCAACAAAATCATGAGGACTTGACTCCTTGCACCTCTCTAGTGGTTACAGCTCATCAATTTGGATTCAGGTAAGGACAAAATGAATGAGTAGATAGGATGAAAGTTTGACTTCCATTTTACTTGATTGAAAACCTAACCTATGCAACCCTTCTCTCTTCCATAATCTTCTCTTTTTATTTGGTGTAAGCAGGAATCAATCCTCAAGATTATGTAAGTTTACCAAACAAGCTACTGAACATTTGATAAAGACTAATTTTTTAACTTCACAAATTATCATCCTAACCTAAGTAAACGTAAAGATCAAATGATATATATATATATATCACGATCCAATAGTTGATCTCATGAACTTCATTTGTTTTATTAGTTCAGTCTCGAAAAATGAATCAAATAGAATATTTCCAACCAGATAAAAGACAGCATCCTCTGTTTCACAGCATCCTCTGTTTCTTGTACTGGCTACGGATGAGTGGTGGTTTAATTTATTTATTTTATTCTTGAAATTTGAAATTATGGGATAGAAAACATTCATTTTGATATGTTCTTTTTTTTTTAATCCTTCAAGAAAAAATCTGCTGTGTCGTGGATATCGATCGGCAGTTTGCTGGATCGGTAAAGATAATGCCAACAAACTCTTGGCACAGTAGCTAAGGGCCGTTCTTTTTTTTTTTTTTTTTAATGTCAGTTTTTAAGTTTTTTTTTATTTTTTTTAAATTAAAAATTTGTTTGGTTGGTTAGTTTTTTTTTAATCTTAATATTTGTTTTCTTAAAAAAAAAAACATTTAATTTCAATTGAATACTTGAATGATTAGGATTTGATTGCATGGTGACCTAGATTTGATTCCTAAACTCCTTGAACTTGATCTTGTCCTTATCTCTTGGTAACCCACACCTGGTCTCAACCTAAACTTGTCCCGTCCAGACAACTCAACGTCCTAGTTCTTGTCTCGACCTGAACTCAGGCTCTACAACAACCTATTCCGACTCACACCCGGGATGTCCCTGCGCTAGTCCTAGACTGCAACCCGGGCACCTTAGATCCTATATTGGATCGTTCCTCCAGGTGCCTGGACCCAGTCCAGGCTCGACCTTTAGGCGCTCTGAAACTCATCACTGTCCAACCCCATGACTTATCGAATCCAGACTTGGATCATCCTCTAGAATCAGTTCTGGATCGGTCTCACTAGGCACCCTAAACTTGATTTCAACCCCATGACTCCGATCGTTTTGGGCCTCGTCTCAGATAGAATCTCGAGTACCCTCGACTAGGTCTTGGCTAGAACCTTAAGTGCTTTAGACTTGATAAAAGTTCAAATCTCGAACGTTCCATATGAGAAAGTTTATAATACATAATAGTTAACTAGATACGTAAAATAATTATTTTTTAAATCTTTTTTGACAAAAAAAATAGATATATATATAAAAAGGAAATTACATTTATATCTATCAAAAATGATAAAAAGATTTTCACGTTCGTTCAATTTTTTCTATTTTCTCGTCTCATGCTTTTTTTTTTTATCTATTTCTCTCTTCAAAGTAAATCTAAAAAATAACTACTGTATATATTATTAATTATTCTTTATGTATTATAAAATTTTTTCATTCCAGACTAGGTTCTCACTTGAATCCTAACTTTTCGAATCAAGTTTTGACTCAAACGCTTCACATGATCCACATTCTTCTTCTTCTTCTTCTTCTTCTTTTTTTTTTTTTTTTTTTTTTTTTTTTTTTTTTAACTTGACACAACTTTCAAAGTACATGGTGATATTATAAAATACCAGTTTTGAAAATTTTTGAAAACCATTTTTTTTGTTTAACTTAAAAATTTTAATTAACAATTGTTTTTAAAAAAATAAAAAACCAAAAACAAATAAGTTTCCTTATCTTATTTTTAAAATTTTTAAAAACAAAATAGAAAACAAAAACAATACCAAACAACTTTTAAAAAGTTCATTTCTCTGCACTCAATAAATGAATTCGAATTTTATCATTAATTAATTGGATTGATGCTAAACCTAGCTAGGATTGATCCCGAGTAGAGTCTTTAAGCTTCCACATAACGATATTGATTTTGTGTGGGATGAGGCACAATGTTAATCTCATGATCGGATGTTAAACAAATAATGGTATTTTTTTTTCAAAAAATATACAAAATGGAAAAAAAAAAAAAACCTATCGTTCTCTCGTACAAAAAGAATCACGGATATAAATACGGAAAACAGATCCCACATGCTGGAATAGCAAAAATAGATTTCTCCCAATGAAAACAGCTAGGGTTTGATGTATATTTATGCACATTTATACAAGTCAAAAGTACAGATAGAAACTGTAATAAATATATTATTATATGTCAGTACTATTATTTATTATCTTGTGAAATGTTTTATAAAAACGAAAACAGTTGATAATCGTTTCCATATTGTAATATAAAATGTAACTCCTTTTGGATAGACCTGACTGGAATCCCTGGTTCATCATGATCGATGGATGCTCTTCATGGAGTACTCTTCCGGTACTTGAAGTCAAGATTCCAAGTAATTCCAACCATGATAATATTTATTATTATTTTCATGTCATATATCTTACAACAAATCAATTTGGTCTTACATGCATATATTTCTTGCATCTTGTCTTGATCCTTATTTTTGAAGAAAAACAAGCAATTAAGCTAGCTAAACCTAGATAAAGACAAAGGGAGTAATTAATCCTCATAGAGAGTATTTTTTTCACTAAAAAATAAAACACGTCTGTCATTAGCTAATAACAACAGTACTCTAGCTATATACTTGACAAAAACCAGTGCCATAATCTTTCAGAATAAAGGATTTGATCATATTTTATTCGTAACCCATTATAAATATGTAATTTGGCTATATCTATCTAGTTTTCAGGAATCCTTTTAGGTGGAGGAAACAACAAAAACATTAAATGGATAGCAAATGAGCTAATTAGCAAAACTAGAAGGCTCAAAAGTCAAACTAATTAAGCAAACTTGATTTTGATAACTAGCTGCAGATCCTTAGTTTACCAGCTGGCCCAATACAAAACTGGCTTAATGTATTTTTTTTTTTTTAAATTGCGATTAATAATTAAACTTTTTGAATTGAGATGAGTTTTTGACTTTTTCTACCGATATTTTATCTTATAAATACAAGAAAAAAGAGTTTAGAATTGGGATTTGAGTTATACTCTTATTACCTTAAACAAAAAAAGGAAGGCAATTAATCCGACATTATAAGGTTCATGTAAGTAACTAGCTATCAGTATTGCCAATGGCCAAAAGGGTTTGTGATTTCCCATTCGCTAGCAAGTAAATAAGACATTTCTAGGTCGACTTATTTGGAAACTGATATAATGTCATTTTCCAAACATTTTTTTTACAAAATATATATTACTAATAAGCTAAACGGTATGAGATTTTTCAACAGCACTAGACTGTTCATTCACTGTTCACTTTGTTTTTTCTGTCTTTTGTTTGGTTCGGTTACTGTTCATTTCTTTCTTTTTGTATTTTTTTTTCCTTTTCTCCCAATACCACTTCATGCTAGATTTATTTAAAAAGCCACGTGGTACAATTTTTTTTTTTCTGAAATTTTAATATTTTAATATTAATAATTTTTAATTTCATATTTTTAAAATTATTTTATTGTAAATTGATTTTTTTTTTTAGATTTTCATCTATTTTGACACTAAAAGCATGCATAAGTTGCACGAGATTGATTTTTAAAATTTTCAAATATCTAAAAATATGTCAAAACATGTGAATGTTTGTTTTTCTTGATTTTTTTAAATATTTTTTAATTGTTTTTTAGTATTTAAGAAAAAACTTTTAAATAAAATATCTGTAAATTTTTATATACTTTTAGAAATTGAGAAGTTGCACTTATTGGTTAAAGTTAAAAAAAAATCTAATAAAATAACATAATTTCAAATAAAAATAATTAAAAAATATTCAATTTCAAATTAAATTGAAAAATTTATTCTCAAATAATTAACAATTAATGAAAAGTTTTAACGAGTTTATAAAAAATAGTAAAATAAAATGAGTTTTTACCATTCATAATATTATTCGCATACTCACAAATCACTTTTTTTGATACTTTGGTCCTTAATTTTTCTATATATATATATTTTCAATTTCAAACTTTAATTATATTGTGATTTAGTCTCATTTTGTTTTAGTATTTTTTATTAATTACCTGTATTATTTAAAATTTACTATTTTAGTTTGTCAATTTTTTTTTAAAATTCTCATCAAATTAATTTAAAATTTTATTTATTGACAATTTTGATTTTTTTTTCTATATGTATGGATTTTGGAATAAATTTTTAAAACATAATTATTTTTTCTTTTGAAAAATAAATTTATATAATTTTTAAATTATAGTGGCATGATTAATATATATCATTTGTGTAAAATAATTTTTTAGATTAAAAGTGAATTTCAAATAATTTTTTCTTGATTTTTTTAGAAAAAACTCAAATTAAGTAATTGATAATTGAAAGTCAAATGTGAAAAACAAAAAAGAGATGGTTGCTCTACGTGTGAGTCATGTATTCAAGAATTAGCCATGTATGTCATAAAAATAAAAAAATTATTTTATGAGGAAAATAAGAAAAAGAATTCAAGTGTTTTATTTTTTTCCTTCTTTATATAATCAAAATTTATCGAAATCAATTTTGTAATAATTTTATTTTAGTGTATTAACTTTAAATTTAGTCAATATATTCTTTGCAAGTTAACTTCTTCTTCTTCTTCTTCTTCTTCTTTTTTTTTTTTAATTTTTTTTATTTTATGCTGAAAACTACGAATCCATTTAGTATAGTTATGATGTACAAAAAAATTAAATCGTCATTTTTTTTTCTAAATTAACTATGCAACTACTATTACACTTAGCATTTACTATTTATTTTTGAATATTTGAAAATTAATTTATTTTAAATTAAATAATTAAAATTATGTTTTGGCTTAATCTCTCAATGATTCAAATTAATAAAGTTTTTTATTTTAATATTATTTATTTTTTATAAATAAATATATAAAAATTAAATTCATATTTTTTCAAAAATCGATATTCTCATCAACTTTATATAAAAATAAAAAAATAATTTTTTTTGTTCAATTCTATGTAAGTTTTTTATTAATAGTTAGTTTAGTTTTTCAACACAATCTTATAAAATACTAAAGCTTTTTAAAAATTTTTATTTAATTTTTTTTAGTTAATAATCTATGGATTAACAAGAATAAATCTTTTTTTCTAACAGAAAAATCATGAAAAGTACAATTAAGAAATAATTAAATACAAAATTTTGATTGAATAATTATAAATAATTTTTTTTACCTTTAATTTCATATATTTTTACAAATTCACATTATAATATAGATTATCAAATTAAAATGATGTTTTTTTAAAAATAATTTTATATATTTTATCCAACTCGCAACATAACTGCAGATAAAAAATCTAATTTTTTTATCCAAAATGATGTTTCAAAGAACTTAATAGAGAGACGTAGACATCACAAACAGTGATTTTAAACCATAATTGGTTCTTATAAGTAACAAATTACACTATAATTTGATTCGGCTATACAATAATAGATCAATAGGACGTTGAAGAATTGAATCAATGCTTATCATTTATTAACCAAGTGTGTGTGTATGTATATATATATCAAATGTTGAATAATTGAGAGGCAGTAGAGAGGAGGGAAGGCTCACGGGATGGCTACAATTTTCCTTCAACTAAAGCGAATGGATAGGAGTGGGTGGTTGAAAGGTTGGGGCAATAAGATGGAGTCCACAGAGTGCCTGATTGACCACAGAAATGGCCAGGTAAGATGGAGTTCACGGGTGCTTACTGCTACATTTGTATAAACATTTACAAATATGTGGACAACATCAACACCGCAGAAAGATTATTCTTTTTCTTCAAGGAGAGCTGGCAGCAATAACACGAGTGATAGACAAAAGTAAAGCTACAGATCCCATTTGGCCCCCACACTACATGAAGATCTTTGATCTCTTCATCCTCCCAAGTTCTCAACCGCATAAATGATTCATTCTCCTGTCATGCTCCTTTTTTGCCCAGTAAATTGTAAATCAGTCCCTCTTGTTTTAAAAAATAAATTAATTAGTCCTTCTAATTTTAAAACTCAATCATTTAGTCATTTTTGTTATTTTTTAATTTATTTTGATTTTTTTAAGAAATAGAAAAGAAAAAAAATATGAAAAGATTGATGAGAACGTGATATATTTTATAAAATAAAAAATATTAAATTAACTATAATCAATACCGATTAAAATTTTGAAATCAGAAAAACCAATTATTTTGTTTTTTAAAACGAGAGGGACTAATTTTTAATTTACTATCATTTTGCCTCCTGCATAAGTTGTTGTTGTTTTTTTTTTTTTTTTTTTTTTTTTTTTTTTACTTGGAAGCTACCAAATAAATATTACACATGGATTTTAGAAAGCACAATAGATTACACTTAAGATATAAATCGAAAGTATTTTGAATTTGATAATATTTCAAATTATAGAAATGTCAATTATTTTAGAACTATGCCAAAAACTAGCATAATCAAGAAATTAAATTAATTATTTATATATTTTTGAAAAAAGTGATTGTTGAAAATTTTGATATTGATTAAAAAATTGATGAGGTCTGTAAGTCGATAAAATATCGAGTACAATTCAAGATATTAATTTAAGAGGAAAAAAAAGAATTTGATGAGAATGCTTTCAAGTTTTAATACTTCTCAATTATTATAATTTCTTCTATGGATGTTTAGCATTGATTAAAATTTTCTTTTTATTGAATTTTATTTATCTATTTATTTTGTTTTTTCGTATCCTATGCTAAATCTCCGAGTCCGCCGCTGTAACCAGCCAATAATCCATGGCCAATAATGAGTTCACCAGGCATTTCAACAACCAGAGATGGTTGATATATAATGGTGCTCTGTCCTAATAATAGAAGAGATTTCATAGGTTAATAGATAGCTAGCTGCACTGGTTCAACGTGATTTTCAGCCACAAATTTGAGGCCCCATTTTGGGAGTTTTGGGACCCTTTGCTTCTGTTTTCACCCCTATATTGCTGGCTTACTGCATGCGTATGCTTCCAAAATTGTCAATTAATTTATGATTGTTTTTGTTTTTTCTTTGAACCACCGCAATATCGCCTACCATCAATAGGATGGTAATTTGCCCCGTTTCCATGGAGTTCCGTCCCGTCCAATCTCATTTTACCTTGGTTAATATAAGAATTTTTTGGGTTCATCGAGGAATGATGTAGGACAAGAGGTCGATATTAAAAGATTATCTCACTTAAAAACTTAAGTTGATAGGTGAAACTCGAATATAATTTATATTAGTCTCTAATACACCCCTCAAGTAAAAACCTCAACATTTGGGCTTAAAACTTACACTGCGTCCACATTTCCTCGTGCTTAATACTTGAGAAATTGGAGATCGTGAGACTTGAACCGAGGACCACATGGTCAACCAAGCTCCGATACCATCTATTTCCGATCGAGCTTTTACGGATCTATATATATACAAAGCTAATATCAATACATGGTAAACCTAGAGAATTATGGAAACGTGATAAACAATCCGATTTACACGAGAGATTTTAGCTTGCTTGGCGGGATATTAATTCTCATGTCTTTGATTTGTCGACGTGATTTGCTCCTCGTCGATATCCCCTCTCAAATTGATGATGGTTGTCAACAAGCATCAATTTGCTCATAAGATATGCATGGTGCGCAAAAGACATGGGCTTGGTAAATAGGTCAACAATTGGATCATGAGAAGAGACATGGGCAAGGCTAAGAATTTTATCATGAACCAATTCTCGAATATAATGGCAATCAACCTCAATGTGCTTAGTTTGCTCATGGTGTACTCGGATTTGTGGTAATGCCGATCGCGCTAGTGTTATCACCAAAAAGAGTGACAGGGTGAGAGTAAGCAATACCTAGTTCCAAGAGAAGTCGTCGGATCCATACAATCTCAAAGCCGACGAGAGGACATAGAACGATAATCGGCCTCGGTGGAGGATTTTGACACTTGCTTTTGCTTCTTACACTTTCAAGAGATAAGAGAGTTACCTAAAAAGACACACCATCCCGTAGTAGAACGTCGAGTATCAACACATCCAACATAGTCGGCATCAACATATGCTTTGAAAGAAAAGACTTGTTCGAAGGAAAATACGAGTCCTCGATCACAAGTACCTTTCAAATAACGAAGAATGCGATGAAGAGCGGAGAGATGATGCCGCCTAAGGTGGGAAATAAATTGACCGACAACTTGGACTACAAAGGAGATATCGGGACGTGTAATAGTGAGATAAATACGACTTTCCACTAAACGTTGGTACAAAGTAACATCCGCAATAGGTGCACCATCATCTTGCTTCAATTTCAAATTTTGTTCCATTGGGGTAGCACAAATTTTATTGTCGGTAAGATTGGCCAACTTGAGTAAATCTTCAATATACTTACATTGAGTAAGGAGAATACCATGAGAGGAATATATTATTTCTAGCCTAAGAAAATATGTAAAAGTGCCAAGATCTTTCATATAAAAAGAATCTTTATGAAACTTTTTTAACTCGTAATTCCTTATTGATCGTTACTCGTGATGACCAAATAAACCACATAAAAAACTAAGATAACAATGCCAAAATCAGAATTACGAATGAAAAGTGAGTGATCATTAGATCTTTGTTGAAAACCAACCGAACAAATGATGGATCGAAATTTCTCAAACCAAGTTCGAGGGGCTTGTTTAAACCCATAAAGTGATTTGCGAACTTTACAAACCATATTAGGATTAGTTAGAGGATAACCGGGAGGGCACACCATATAAACTATTTCCTATAAATCTCTATGGAGGAAAGCATTCTTCACATCTAACCGGTATAAATGGCCATTGCTTGCATGATGCTAGAGCAAGAAGAATATAAATAGTGGTCATTTTGGCAACGGGAGCAAAAGTTTCTTCATAGTCAACTCGTGCTCTTGTTTATATCCTCGGGCTACTAAGCGGGCTTTGTATCGATATAAAGTGTCATCAAGTTTAACCTTAATAGTATAAACCCATTCACTCCCGATTATAGAACTATCGAGTGGTCGTGGAACTAAGTCCTAAGTATGATTCTCTTTCAATGCCTAAAGTTCTTCTTCCATAACTCTTCTCCAATATGCTTGTTCTATTACCCGGTTATAAGTAGAAGGAATCTTGACAGAGTTTAAATTAGTAAAAAAGGAATAGAATAGAGTATAGCTTTGAGGTGTCTTACCAAAGTTAGAATGGGTAGATCTTTTCAAAGATGGTGGATTTGGTATTAGTTTTTCAATGGGAGAGGTGGAGACGGGACCTTCAAGACTAGGATCGGTAAGTGGCATAATAGACGTTGCATCATCATTCTCGATTTGAGAATTAGAAAAATCATGTAAAAAAAATTGAAGAACTAGATCCCATTGAATCGGAGTGGATAAATAAAAATAAACATTTTCAAAAAAGGTAACATGACGAGAAACACGTATGCATTGATTTTGGGCATCATAGCAAACATAACCTTTTTGTTTATCACCGTAACCAACAAACACACATTTGGCAACCTTGGCAATTAATTTTGTTCTTTCATGTGAAGGAAGCAAGACAAAACGGACACGACCAAAAACACGAAGATACAAATAATCCGGTGATCTATGATAAAGAGAAAAATATGAAGATTGATTACCAAGTGTCGGAGTAGTTTGACGATTAATAAGATAAACAACTCGTATGAACCGCTTCTACCCAAAATTGAGGAGGAACACAAGAGTTAAGCAAAAGAGTTCGAGCAATTTCTAAGACATGATGATTTTTACGTTCAACGATCCCATTTTGTTCGGTGTGTTTGGACAAGACTCGTTGAGCTAAAATTCCTTTTTCATGAAAAAAATTAATAAGTTGAGAAGCATAAAATTCTCCTCCGAATCAAAACGAAAAATTTTGATTGTTTTCCCTAATTGTGTCTCAATCATAGTAATAAAAATTCTAGCTATGTTTGCTAATTCGGACTTAGCTTGTAAGAAATATATCCAAGTAAATTGAGTAAATTGATCAAATTGATCAATGAATAAACAAAAATATTTATAACTAAGTCAAGATAAAATAGGTGAGGGGCCCCATAAATCAAAAGGTACATCAACCTTTGAAATACTAGAAGTAAAGGGTAACTTGGCAAATTTTTCAATAGCACAACTTTGACAATCTTTAAAAAATCCAGGTTTAACACATAATTTTTTAGGAAGAACATTAAACTTGAACATATACTCTAACCTACTAGCATAAAGGTGACCAAGATGACGATGCCATAAATTTTGTGTATTATTTATGGAGGAAACAAGTGTAGATGGTGAGACAAGTAAGGCATAATTGAGAATCTTTTTCTCGGTCCAAATCAAGATGAAACAAATGGCCATGTTTATGCCCCTTCATGATCATCATGTCCGTTTGAAGATCCTATACATCACAACCAAGGGAGGAAAATTTAACTAGATAATTGTTATTAGTTAATTATCCAACGAAACCAAATTGACGAGTTAATCGGGGGACATAAAAGGTATTAGGTAGGCATAAGGAATTTTTAGATTTGTCTCGTTAAGTAAACAATACCAATTCCTTTAATAGGTAATTTTCTTCCATTAGTAGTAGTAACTCGAGTGATTCAAAGAACAAAGTTTGAGTTGAGAAAAAGCATATTTTTGTCCAAAGATATGGTTAAAGGCAGCAGATCAAGGTACCAAGGGTTAGATTTAATTCCTTTACTTGATAACCTAGCAATAGAAAAAGCGAAAGAGATAGCACACTGGAAGA